CCAGAGGTATCACACTCCCTGACTTCAATCTATTCTACAAAGCAACAGCAATCAAAACTATACTATTGGCAGAAAAATGGATAGACCAATGGAACAGAATTGAGAGCCCAGAAATAGGCCACATATATGGGTAACTAATTTTTGACAAAGTAGCCAAAGAAAGTTTCTTCAATAAATGGTGTTGGGCCGAAACCGGTTTGGCTCAGTGGATAGAGCGTCGGCCTGCAGACTGAAGGGTCCCGGGTTCGATTCTGGTCAAGGGCATGTACCTGGGTTGCGGGCGCATCCCCAGTGGGGGATGTGCAGGAGGCAGCTGATCGATGTTTCTCTCTCATCGATGTTTCTAGCTCTCTATCTCTCTCCCTTCCTCTCTGTAATAAAACCAATAAAATATATTAAAAAATAAAATAAATGGTGTCGGGAAAACTGGAAAGCCATATGCAAAAGAATGAAACTAGACTGTATATGACACCATACACAAAAATTAATTCAAAATGGATTAAAGACTTGAACATATAAGTCCTAAAACAAAAGACATATAATATAGCATAGATACCAAACTTATGGACTTTGGTCTCAGAGGGGTTTTATGAACTTGAGCCCAATGACAAGGGAAGTAAAAGCAAAAATGAACAGGATTATGTCAAACTAAAAAGCTTCTGCATAGCAAAGAAACCATCAACAAAACAAAAAGGCAAGCAATTGAATGGGAGAAGATATTTGCAAATTATACCTCCAATAAGGGGCTAATCTCCAAGTTATATAAGGAACTCATACAACTCAACAACAAAAACCAAACAGTTGGATTAAAAAATGGGCAGAGGGCCCGGCCAGGGTGGCTCAGATGGTTGAGCGTTGTTCCATAAACCAGGAGGTCATGGTTCCATTCTAGGGTTGTGGGATCGATCCCCAGTACGGGAAATGCAGGATGTTTCTCTCTCATGCATGTTTCTATCTCTCCCTCTCTCTCTCTCTGAAATAAAAAATAAAAAATGGGCAGAGGACCTAAACAGACACTTCTCCAAGGAAGACATAGAGATATATTTTCATGCTCAACATCACTAATCATTAGGAAAATGAAAATCAGAACCACAATGAGATACCACCTCAAACCTGTCAGAATGGTGATTGTCAATAAGAACGTTTTGGGGAGGATGTAAAGAAAAGGGAGCCCTCGTACACTGCTGGTGGGAATGTAAATTGGCGCAGCTACTTTGGACAATAATATGGAGATTCCTCAAAGAATTAAAGAATATTTCCACTTTAAAAAAAAAGGGAATAGAGCTATTATATGGCTCAGCAATCCCTCCTTTGGGCATGTGCCAGAAAAATTTAAAAACATTTATTCATAAAGATAAAAATGCCCCTATGTTCACTGCAGCATCTATCTATAATAATAAAAGCGTAATATGCTAATTAGACTGGACGTCCTTCTGGACAACCTTCCGGACGAAGCCGGAGCTGTGAGGGAATCCCGGGTCCTGGGTGCCAGAGGGAAGCCGGTGCTGGCAGCTGGAGGAAGGAAGGCCTACTCTTGCATGATTTTCGTGCATCGGGCCTCTATATATACAGTATAAAATCCTAATATGCAAATAAACCAAACAGCAGAACAACCAAACAACTGTACAACCAAATAACTGGTCGCTATGATGTGTGCTGACCACCAGAGGGCGTGCACAGAACATAGCGGGCGTAGGCCGTGGTGGGATGGTGGAGCAGGTGAGTGGGAGCACCAGACCAAGGCAGGGCACCGGTCACTGTCATCAGGGCGATGCCTCTGGTGATTACTTAAAATTCTTTGCTTCTGTGCGCTGCAGTCCTGCCCAGCACTTGCACCTGCTGCTGGCGCTGGCCCCGCTCGCAGCCGCTGCCAGCCCCAATTGCCTCTCAGGGCTTCTCCACCTCCCCCTGCTTCTGAGGGGCAATTGGGGCTGGCAGCCGCCTCTTGCACCCGCTGCTGGTGATGGCACTGCTTGCACCCGCTGCCAGTCCCAATCTCTTGGTGCTGCCAGTCCCAATCTCTTGGTGCCGCCAGCAGGTGCGAGCTGTGGCTGCAGGCCCTGATCGCCCCTGAGGACTTCTCCACTTCCCCCTGCTCCTGAGGGGCGATCAGGGCATCAGCCACCACTCATACCTGCTGTTGAAGCCGGCCCCAATCGCTCCATGCCGTCAGTGCATGGGAGCGGTGGCGGCGGGAGCAGGGCTGCTGGCAGACGGGACCAGGGGTCGTGGTGGGAGGGACTGGGTGGGCCAAGACCCACCCCTGTGCCCACCACAGCCTCATGGCCCACAGTTCCTTTCAAGGTACATGAATTCGTGCACTGGGCCCCTAGTATACTAGAATATATAAAAGGCTAATATGCTAAGTGTCCCTCCAACGGGTTGCAGTGATGCGCACTGACCACCAGGGGGGGCAGATGCTCAATGCAGGAGCTGCCGTGAAGCACACTGGCCATTTACAGAGAAACCACGCTGCGGACCTGGGACCCACAAAGCAACACTTGACTTCCCCTAAGTGGGACACAGGCCCTGCCACCACCCAGAGCGACAGCCCACCAAATCGCAGCCGACACCCCATGGTGCAAAATGTGGCCCACAGCCTAGCCTAGCCTGGAAACCGTGGCTGTGGCACCGGGTAATGACGTCATGTAGCAACTCCTGGCTTCCTCTCCCCAGCCACTAGCCTCCTTGCAGTTCCTTCAGCCCAGGAACACAACCCTGGCGTTTCCGTGAACCTGCAAGTAGCCACTGAGCCTGACTTTGACATCTCCACCATGTGACTTCAGACTACTTCCTGCCATAAGAGACCTAGCGTCACAAGTGCAGGCGGCAGCACCTTGCTCCCTTGGCAGCCCCTTCCTCTCTGTCCCCCTCAGACCAACCCCTGTAAGGCGCTCTGCAGGGTTTAGGGAATGGCCAGAACAGCATCCCCCTGTGTGCACCGTCCCGCAGTTTGCTTGGGGCTCAGCGTGTTTGGGACAGCTGTCCCTGTTCATTCATCCAGTCCTAACTCACTCATTTAACTGCTCAGAACTCTGTGCTATGCACGTGCCACCTCACGTGAAGCGATTCCTCTGCTGACGAATGTTTGGCTATTTCCAGGTTATCGCTGTGACAGTGATGCTGCAATAAACAGCTTTCCACCCAGGTAGGGTTTCTAGGATACAAAGAAGGAAAATCATGCAGCCATAGGCGCACAATTTCCTGCTTGACTGGAATTGCCGACGTTCCCCCCAGTGGTTAGAAAGAGCCTCTGACTGTCCTCTGAACGGTAACAGCACATCCCCTCACAGCGGCCTCTAATCCACAGCAAACCATTGTTTTGCTAGTGGTTGGCGTGGGGGCCAATTCACTGTTGTTTTATGTGGAAAATGAGTCGCCCCTGCCCCACGTGCAGGACCCTGACTTCCCCCAATGATCCCGGGCAGCTTCCCATTACACCTGGGTGCTGCCCTGGAGCCTGGCCGCATCGGATTGAAAAAACCAACAGCTTTACTGAGATATAATTCACATGCTGTGCAAGACACCCTTTTAAGTATACAGTTCACCACAGGGAGGCCCGTGCTGCCACACTGCACAGCTCTGGGGCCACTATTCCCATTGGTCATCTCATATTTCTGTCACTTTTTAAATCAAATGACAACAATGGTACAGACACTTTGAAAAACAGTCTGGCAATTACTCAAAAGGTTAAGCACGGAGTTACCATAGGACCCAGCAATTCCGCTCCTAGGTATATACCCAAGAGAACTAAAAGCATGTCCCTACAAAATCATGTATATGAATGTTCACAGTAACATTAGTCACCACAGACAAAAGGCAGGAACAACTAAGTGTCCATCAACTGATGAATAAACAAAATGTGGTCTATCCATACAATGGAGTATTATTTGATCTTAAAAGGAGTGAAATACTGATTCGTGCTACATGTATGAACCTTAAAAACATGCGAAGTGAAAGAAGCCAGTCCCAAATGGCCACACCTGTATGATCCCATATATGTGACATGTCCACAACAGGCAAATCCACAGACAGAAAGCAGGCCAGTAGTTGCCAGGGCTGGGTGGAGGATGGGGCCATGGGGAGTGACTGCTGTGAGCACCGGATTCTTTCTGGGGTGACAAAAGGCTTATAAAATTGTGACGGTGGCTGCACAACTCTATAAATATACTAAACACCATTGGGCACACCGGGCAGGGGCCACTCACTCTCCATGGCCTCTGTGGCTGGACCTTCTCTCTGTCCCTCAGCCCGGGCCCCTCTCCCCTGCTCTGACTGAAGAGGGCACCTCCTTTCTGCTGAGCCAAACTCCACTCTGAGCCCCACCCTTCGTGAGGCTCACTGGGCACCCAGACTAACATCCGTCTTTTGTTTGTGGAGGGCCCAACGCTCTGAGAGTGGTCATGTGACACCTGCTTCACCCCCACCTGCAGGGCCACCAGCTCCTGGGATACAGCTAGATCGCAGCCCCTCTGGGCACAGGGTCATGACTCAGGGACCCGGGCCACCATGCACGACCCGAGTTAGTGTCTCTCCCCAGCGCCACCACGAGCTCCTGCTGACGGGCTGGGTGGACCCTTATCCGCACCTATGGCACCCGCACAGGCGGGGCACATGTGGGCAGCACTATGTCCTGGCGGACTTCCTTGTCCGGATCTCCCAGCTTCTTGGCATAGGCCACCCCTTCCCGCCCCCTCCTGGGCCCGATGGTCACCGGAGGCCTGATGGGCATGAGGAGATAATTCATCTCTATCTGCATGACCCTGGGCAGCCACTCAACTTCTACAGGCCTCAGTTTCCTCATCTGTGAAATGGGGCTGCCCAGACTTAACCCGTGAAGTTGCCAAGGGAGCACAGAAGAGAATTCAGCCTGCAGGCCCCGTGCCCACGGCGCTGCAGGCGCTCCCTCCGTGCTGGCCACACGGACTCCTGGTCTTGTCACCGAACCTCCCGTCCCGAGGTAACAGGAGGAGGAGGTGGCCGCCTGGCCGCACACTCACGTTTTCACGTAGGGATCCGAGTAGCCATTGGCATCCATGGCAGCCAGGTGTGCACAGCGCACGATGCCGACCAGCAGGCCCTGCTTCTGCGAACTGTACTTGAGGGAGATGAGGATGCGGCCACGCTCCTCTAGGGACTTGTCTTCCGTCTTGTCCACCTGCAGGGCGGGCAGTCACTGAGCTGTCCTCACCTGCCCCCGTCCCTTCCCTCAGCCAGGGGCCCAAGGCCAGCCACGGGCCCAGGACAAATGGAGCGGTGAATGGTGAGGGGTCGCCCTGGCCCCAGCCCCTTGAAGGTGCTTCCTGGAGCCTCTCGGGGTACAGGGGGCAGCCCCCTTGGGGAGAACACAGAGGACAGAGCTTCGACACATCCCTGACCCCAGGGGAGGGGGAGCCGGGAGGCAGGTGGGGCTGCCAGGCCTGTGCCCCTCTCGGGGATCACACTCAACTCTTGGCCTCACTGTCTGGCTTCCCCACCCCAGCCAGCCTGATGCTTCTCCACTCCTCACCCCCTTGAGATCACCCGTATCCACCTTCTGGCTGCTGCTCACATGGACCCCTCTCCTCTGCTCTCTGTCCACCCAGGCACACCAGCTGGAACCCCACGACCCCCAAGGGCTCCTGTGACGTGAAGGAAGACCCACCGGCCCCACTCCCCCGCCCAGAGCAGGCATGGCTCCCGGATCACAGCATTCACCCAGAGCTCCCGGGGCCTCAGCATCTTTCTCACTACAGCGCTCAGGCCGCCGGGGGTGTGTCCCAGACGGGCGTGTGAGTCAACTCTCTGCCACTCTGGCCGGGGCCTCGCTCACCCAGGGCTCTTGTGCTAGTTTGTGTGAGGTGTGGAAATTAAACGATATAAAGGAGTGTGGGTATTCCCAGCTGTTTTCTTTGGTGTGGGGAGCGGGGTATAAGAACTTTGGGTCCCTTCCTAGGAAGACCATTAAACGGTATTCAGTGTTTACTGAGAACAAAGGAGTTCTCGGACTAAATAAAATCTAAAATGCAGCATCAAAATGTGTCTTTGTGGCCGGAGCGTCCATTCTAAACTGCACTCCTGTGGGGGCCCTGCGCCCCTAAAACCAGACTAACGAGCTACCAGTGGATTCAAGCAAACTCTGCAAAACCCAAGCATGCCCGGTACAGGCACGCACACTCGCCACCCACGTGCACGCACCTCACACCTGCATTCCACGCTCACATGCGCCCGCGCCCGCACACTCGCTCACATGCAGACACGGGCTCACTTGCCCACACAGTGGCTTATTCATGCCGGGGATCAAATCCCAGGAACACAACTATAGTGGGAGTTTGATGTTGCCTTTTATAAGTGACATAGATCATTTGGAAAAACTGGGTTACCTGTGGTGAGTGACTAATAATAAAATAAAAAGGTCAGATCCATCACACAAATGTCTATGAGTGGGAGAGAGTGTGACAAGGGAACACGATTCGATCAAGTTATGCAAGAAGGCAAAGCTGGGGTTCTGGCGGGGAGCTCTGGCCTCAGGGTGATTTGCTCCCAGGGCTTGACCCTGGCCAGGCTGCTCTGAGGAGTGTGGGTCCCAGGGCCGAGCCCCACACGGCGGTGGGGACAGCTACTGGGCTCTGTCCTCTACACCCTTCCCCTTGCCCAGACCTTTGGGGGGACTGTACCCTGAACACTGAGCTGTAGGAGGGCCAGGTTTCTCAGGACCCTGGGGCCTCCTGGTCCAACACTCCCCGCCCCCAACAGAGGGGAGGTAGAGCTGAGAGACAAATGGAAGAGGCTCTGGGAGGGCTCAGCTGTTGCAGGCGGCCGGGGTGGGGGTGGGGGAATCGGTTTTGACATCATTTTCAAACCATCACAATTTCTAGGAAAGAATTATTTCCTGTCTCCCCTGGGAATCTCACGCCTAACACGTTCCAGGTGAGTTCCCGTGTCCCCAGCTGCTCCTCCCAAGGTCCTCTGCATCACAGTTAATGGCCCTTTATCCTTCCAGGTGCTCAGGCCCCGTGTCCGAGACGCAGACCTGCCGGCACCCCATCCTGGCCCCAGCACCCCTCCCCGGCTGCTGCTTCGCCCCGGCCTGGGTCATGCTTTTCTCCTCCTCACTGCTCGCCCACTCACCTCCTCTCTCTCCTGTTCTGAGCCCAGAGAGCCTGTTAAAACGCAGTCAGATCTCCTAGCCCCTGCTTAGCACCCTCCCGAAGCCCTTCCACTCACGGTGAGAGCCCGAGTTCTTCCTAGCCTCCCTAGCCCTCAGCTCTCAGCTCCTAGGACACCCTCCCCTCTCCCTCCCCCACTCAGGGGGCTGCTGGCTGTGCCCCTAAGGCTGGGCCTCTCATCCAGCCTTTGCACCTGCTGTCCCCTCTGCGGGGAGCACTCCCGCGTGCCCGGTAAGCCCTCCCCAGGCACCCATCCTCACCGCCACCCCCTCATGCTTTCCTCCTCGGCCTTGATCGCTGTCGAATAGATGATCCAAAGGGGCGACTTATCCTGTTTTGCGTCTGTCTCCTGCTCAAGTTTCATGCGGGCAGGGATTGCTGTCCGTCCCCCGCCCCCCCCGGCACGCAGGGATGCCAGGCATGTAGTCGGCGCTCAGTAAATGCTGCTGGCCCTGAGCTCCAGCAGGGAGGGCCCTGCCCCGGCAGAGCGCGGTGCCACTCACCGGCAGCTGCTTCTCCAGGCAGATGCTGAACGTCTTGGTGTGGTTGGGTTTCAGCTTCTTCAGGGGCACTCGCGTCTCCCCGATGAACTCGTTGTGGCGGAATTTGTCCTCATCGCACACGGAGATCCTGGAGGGCAAGGGCACGGCCAGCTCTTCAGACACACTGGGTGCTCCCACTTGGTTCCAAAGCCAGTGGGGGTTTGCAAGCGGTGGGTGGGGTGGATGCGGCCGGGCCGGTGTGGGTGGGGAGGGAACCTACAGCCAGGGGCCCTCACCCACCGCAGGGTCTTTCGAATCATGTCTTCGTCTGTGATCCCGTAGTAAGTGAGGGTCTCGTTCCATGTGGGGTTCAGCGTGTTTCGGAGAGTTTTTGTTCTGAGCTTATTTGCCTGGAGAGAGAGAGAGAGAGAGAGAGAGAGAGAGAGAGAGAGAGAGAGAGAGAGAGAGGAGAGAGGGGGGATCCTCTGAGCAGGAAGGAGTGCGGTGGGCAGAATGGTGGCCCCTGAGCCTGGGAGTCAGCTCTTACATGGCGAAGGGCATTAAGGGTCTTAGTCAGCTGACGTCAAAGCCCTGCCGGTGTGGCTCAGTGGTTGAGCACCAACCTATGAACCAGGAGGCCATGGTTTGTTTCCCAGTCAGGGGCGTGCAGGTGGCAGCCGATCAATGATTCTCTCTCATCATTGATGTTTCTATCTCCCTCTCCCTCTCTGAAATCAATAAAAAATATATTAAAAATAAAATTGCCTAAAAACCCTCCCAAAACTGGGAGATTATCTAGGTGACCTGGGTGGGTCCAATGAAATCACAGCGTCCTTAAAAGCAGGGGAGAGGGGAGCCAGAGGGCAGAGGGATGAAGGTGGATGACGGCGCGGCCTCTACGAACTGGGAAGGACTGGGACATGGCTCCTCCCGTGGGGCCTCCGGGAGGGACGCGGCCTGTGACACCTGGTTTAGCCCAGAGGGACCTAAGCCGCAGAGCCGGAAGGCGAGAAACGTGAGTTGGTGGTAAAATGCATTCCTGCAGCCCTGGGACACTGTGACAGGAGGCTCCCGGCCGTGTGTGCGTGTGCATGCATGTGTGTGTGTGTGTGTGTGTGTGTGTGTGTGTGTGTGTGTTCGTAGGGGGTGGGGGGAGCGTTCTGCAGGAGGCGGTTGGATGGGATTCACACCTCCCTGCCTCTGCTCAGGCTGCCCCTCTGCCTGGATGTCACCTTCCCTAGAGATGCCTGCGGGGAGGCCTGTCCCAGCTGCCATGCCGCCTCCACGCCTTCCTCTGTGCTCCTGTTGAGTTTGGTTCTTACCCTCCTTATCTGTCTGGCCCCCTTCAGACCCTGAGCCCTTTGACCTCTTCATGCCAGGCCCAGGCTGAGGTCAGGCCGGGGTTCAAATCCCAGCTCCACACTCGCATGAGCCCTTGGGCTCGGCAGGCTATTCCCCCTCTGGGCGAGGTTCCGCACTGTAAACAGCTGGCTTTCAGCATCCCTTCCGGGAAACTTCTTGATCAGGAGACTTCTCTCTGTAGAACGCCGCCCCCTTCGGAAAGCCCTGTGGGGTCCCCATCACCCGGCCTCCAGGCACCGCCGGTTCTAGGTCCCGGGAGTCTAGGGACTATGGTCACTGAGCTCGAGTTGGGCACATTCCCCTGGTCACATGGCCCTCAGCCCAGGGTGTCCTCACCGCAGCCTGAGGAGGCGGAGGCCGCGTGGGGAGCCACCGCCACTTCTCCTGCAGCCCCGCCTTCCCAGCGAGGGGTACGCACTTCTGGGCGCTCCCCCGGATGTGGCGAGCCTCGGCCCTGCTCGCTGCTCAGAGGGCTTGAGCCTCAGAGTCCACTTGGGCCCCAGCAGCCCGTGGCTCCTTAGCGGGGCCAGCACTCCCACTAGTGACTCTTCCTCCCTCTCAGGCTACTGAGGGCTTCAGAGAGGCCAGGACAAGGACGCTGTCCATGGGCTGTGCTGCTCATGCTCCCATGTCCTGTGTCCCGTGTCCCTCTACTTTCCCACTGGTCTCCCCTTGGAAACAAAGCTGCTGGTCTCTAGTCGAGTCCCCTGGGACATGGGGTCTGCACAACTCACCCCGAGATGCCTGTGGGTCCCAGGGCAAGACCCAAATCTGAAACGATGATGTGACCTTCCCTTACATGAAATGAAAAATATACCACCACTGAACTGTAAGGCACAGGTAGGGTCTGATCGTCCTGTGCTGCAGATCCCCTTGATGCTTCTGTTTCATAGCACATTTTTGCTAAACATTTTTTTCTCTTCTTTCCTAGATGCACCACGTGCTCGGTCTGCTGCTGGGTCGTCTGGCATGGAGCATGGGCTCTGTGGCCAAAAAACCTGGGCAGACACTGTCCACTCAGTACCCCTCATGGAGCATCGCAGAGCAGCCCATCAATGCATGAAAGGCCCTGATAAGTCCCGCAGTAAAGAAACCTGTTCAACAACGATTTCCAATGTTACTTGACCACAGACTCTCCCCCGCCATTTTTAATCAAAAAATATTTTTAAAATTAATTTCGGAGAGGAAGAGGAAGGAGAGAGAGAGAGAGAGAAATGTCAATGTAAGAGAGAATCTTTGCGCAGCTGCCTTCTGCACTCCCCCTACCAGGGATGGAGCCCGAAACCCGGGCATGTGCTCTGACCAGGAATTGAACCGTGACCTTCTGGTTCATAGGTCAATGCTCAACCACTAAGCCATGCCAGGCCTCTCCCCCTTTTTAACATATTAACCTCCAGCTAAGACTACTTCTTATAAAACGCCGGCCTAGAAATTCTCTGGAAGGTTTCCCCAGCTCAGCAGGCAGGCAGTGCTGACCTGAGACTCCTGGGAGGCCTGGAGGGAGTGGGGCTGACAGGGTGCTCTGGGCGGAGGTGAACGGCTGAGGTCCCATCAGCCTGCTGGGCTCTGAGAGGGTGTGAGAGCTGTGCACCTCCCTGGGTGCCCCAAGCCCAGCCTGGGCCCGCCGCAGCGGGCAGAGCTTGTTGGCAGCCTAGGACAGCCCCCCTTACCTTACTGGCTCCTGGCAGCAGGTGCAGCTTGACATAGGGGTCTGCCAGCCCGTTGTGGTCCATCGGCTTCAGGCCCTGAGCAGAGAACAGCAAAGGCTGTGAACCAAGCGTTGGGGGCACAGAGCAGCCAGGCCTCCAGGCACCGGGTCAGCAGGCACCCCTTGTTCCCCAGCACCGGGCTGAGTCCATTCATGACCCTCCTTCACAGCAGCCCCCCACACTCTAAGGAGGGAGGAGTGAGGATGCTGGTGTCGTCTCCCCTCCCCCAACATCCTGCCAGGGCAGCCTTTCTCTTCCCATCTCCTTATCATGGAGGCCTGGCCACTCGCCCTGCTTTGGTCAGGCCCCTCCTTCTTCCTAACCTCCAGCCCCCGCTCCCCACACAGAACGTCCCTCCTGACCCTACATCCACTGGCCCGTCTGTCCACGCAGCCACACGCTGCCCTCTGGGGCTGTAGAAGAATGTCCTGCGTCCCGGAGACCAGGCCCAGCCTCTCCCGGGATTTGCCACAGCTCCCTGCGTGCGTGTCTGTGGAGGCCACGCAGCGGCCGGCCGCCCACGGAGCGTCCCTCCACGAGATGGCAGCCCTCGCTCACGCTGGACAGTCCGCGGGCCCAGGGAGCCGTGAGCCCTGAGCAGACGGGGCTTAGCTGACCTCACGCCTGCTCCCGATTCTGAAACTGCATTTCTCCTCCTGGGCTGGTGCGCAGGGGGGCAGGGAGGCAGGGAGGCAGGGAGGCAGAGAGGCAGAGAGGCAGGGAGGCAGGGAGGCAGGGAGGCAGGGAGGCAGGGAGGCAGAGAGGCAGGGAGGCAGGGAGGCAGGGAGGCAGAGAGGCAGGGAGGCAGGGAGGCAGGGAGGCAGGCGTGGTGTGTGCAGGCCGCGCTGGCAGCCCCGGCTGACCTGCTAGCTGGTTGCTCATGACCAGGCCCACCTCGAAGGGGGGCTGTGCTCCTCTGCCCCTGCTCCCGCCTTGGTTTAAAGGAGCTCCCGGGTGGGCACGCCCACCGCCTGCTCTGTTCTGGGAGGGGGCACACAGGCTGTAGAGCCAGGCCGGCCTGGCAGCTCCTGCACTATGAACTGGGTAAGGGCGGAGGTCCCGGGTCTCCTGGGCCTCAGCTTTAGCGTCTGTAAAAGGGGTGAGTAGCTCTCACCTCCCAGGGCGGGAGTGAGAGTTGAGGAGGTAATGCTGACCAAGGGCCTGGACAGCAGGGGGCTGCTCCCCTTTCCCTACATGCTAGCTCCCCCCTCTCCCCTGGGAGAAGCCAGAGGAGGGTGGAGGATGGGGTGGGGTATCTGTGCTCTGCCCTGCCCTGTGGGCCGGCTCTGGGCCGAGGCTGGCTCTGAGGCCCTGTGTGCACCAGGGCAACCAGGCGGCCTTTCAAACACAAGGCCCTCTCCCAGCCTCTCGTCTGCTCCCAGGAAGTGCCTGGGCTGGTGGTCCGTTAATTTTCTTAGTTCCTCTGTGGGAACGAGGCCCATGTGCCCATGCGTGTGGGTGGGTGCCTCCCCCGGCACCAGCCCCAGGACAGCACTAGGTACTGAGGACCTGATCGTGTACGGCTCACCCTCCACGCAGGTGGGGATGATTAACCCCATTTTACAGATGAGCAAACTGAGGCTGCTGTGCTTACTCAGGGGGAAGGTGGCCAAACTAGGGGCCAGGACATCGGGCCTCCTCCCAGAGTCCCCTGAGGGGCTCTGCCAGTCAGCCCTGCCTCAGCCTCCTCCCCAAACCACAACCCAGAGCCGCAGCTCCTCCCATCCCTGCGACACCCCCTGCCTGCAGGACTGGGTCTAAGCAGGTGAATGACCTGGAGACCGGGGAGCTGCCACGGCTCAGGGTCCTCCCATCCCGCACCTCATATGTGTGCACACAAGGTGCCCAGAGACCCTTACACACACATCCATACCCCCCACCCCCACACCTGCACAGCCCCTCTGGGGCCAGGGAGGGAAGATGGGCACACAGTGCGGGAGGGCCCGGTGTCTGGGCTGGGGAGAAGGGGTGGCTCTGGCAAGAGTGGCTGGCAGCCAGTGCCCATTCCATCCCCAAGCCTGGCACCTGCATAAAGCTGGTGGGGGGAGAGGGCAGGCATCTGTTTGAACTTCGCAGTCTGCCCTCCACCTCGGCACAGCGGGGGGTCGCCTCTCAGCTCTGCACCGGGGGCAGGTCTGGAGCCCCTGCCCCGCGAGGCTGGGCGTGCCCACATCACTGCCCGCGCAGCCCCCAGAGGACGGGCTCGGGATGGAGTGTGCAGGCCTCTCGGTGCCCAACGAGGGCCCGGCCCAAAGTGGACGATACTCACCGCTGCCATGGCAGGCCAGGGGGTGGCCGGGGCGGGGCGGGGGCAGCCTGGCCCTCTGGGGGGCAGAGTGGGAGGGCGGGCAGAGAAGCTGGCCGGGAGGGGGGTCTAGGGGTGGGGCCGGGGCCCAGGCAGCTCCTCGCTCTGAGACAGGCCCAGGCCTTCCCACGACTCTCCTGGAGGCTCTAGGCTGCACACCGCCCTCACCTTGCGAGAGAACATCCGCCTTGGCACCTTCCTCCCAGAGGGAGCCGTATGTGTGTGGTGGAGGGAACAGCAGGGCTGAGAACAGAGCTGACGCTAGCCACCCCCCAGGGGCAGGACCGCCCACAGCCCCAACCCAGAGACCAGGGTCAGGCGCTGACACTAAGACATGAATCCCCGCCTGGCGCCTGGCGTGGTCTCAGTGCCAGAGTGGCACCCTTCCCGCTCCCAACAGCCCCTCCCCAGCTTAGGGGCCTCTGTCCCCTGAAAGCCCCGGCCAGGCCTCCCCCCTCTCCTCCTCCTCCCCCCTGGTCCTGCTCCTTCCCCAATGCCTCCCTCTGCAGGGCTTTTAAGGGCAGCTGAGATGATTTAGGCAAAAACTCCCTCCCTGCCCTGCTCCCATGCAGCACAGACACCACCGGCCGGACAGGAAACGGGAAACGGGAGGACTGGCCTTCCGCCTCAGTCGCTCCTGGGGAGCCGGGCCTGGGCAGAGCCGGGCCTACCTTGGCCTTGCTGATGGTGCAGTGCAGGGCGTTGTTCTCCTGGTCGTACAGGAGGCTGAAGTCCAGCGTGCCCAGGGCGGCTGTGGACAGAGGGGGCTCAGGTCACGCATCGCTGCACGGGAAGAAGCGTCACCCACCTTCGTGGGATCGGACAAGGGGCCAGTGCCCACAGGGCCTGCCACCAACTGGGCACCTACCGCACGCCAATTCCTCCACCAGCGTCCCGGCCCCTCCACACCCCCCCTTCTAGATGAGGGGCTGCGGCCCAGACAGGCTAGGTCAACCGCCCCCGTCAGAGCGAATAGAGGCCAGAGTCAGACCCCGGCGGTCAGTGCACAGCCCAGGCTCCTAACCTCCGCACCGTGGGGTCTAACCTGTGGCTGGTCCGTGTGGCACCCACAGGTACTGGGCCCTCCTTCAGCAACTGACGATCTGGGTTCCAGCCGCAGTTTCCCTCTCCCGTTAAATATCACAAGGATTATGGGAGATGGCAGGAGACAGGCTTTGTGAGGCTGCAGGCCCGGGCAGACTGGTTGGCTGATCTACTCACCCACCTCCCAGCAACACTCAGGGTGCAGCTCCCTGGTCTCTGGTCCCTTGGGGGCCTGGGAAGGCTTTGAGGAGCCAGCTGCGTCCTCATGCTGTCACCGCCAAGCCCATGAGGCAGCGGGCGATTCCCAGGGGCTGGGCAGAGAATGCAGCAATAATTGGGCGCAGCTGCCACTCTCGGGGGCAATCATGGCAGCTGTGGCCTCCCACGCCGACGTGGCTCCCGGCACGAGGATGAGTTGTGGTGGGGGCAGACCTCGGGGAAGCCTCTGGACCGCAGAGTGCACACTCATAGGATGTCTTCAGAAGCCCAGGTCCTGCTCGAAGGCTGCTGGGCTGGTCAACTGGCACCTCATTCATTCATTCATTCATTCATTCATTCATTCCTTCCTTGCCGAGTGTCTACAACATGCACACTCTAGGGATGAGATACTAAGGCCTAGTTCCCGCCCCCAGGAAAGCACGGCTTGATGGGAGGAACAGATGAAAAGAATTTGCCATAACAGAGTCTGGTGGGCCAAGAGGGATGGGCGATGCTTGATCGCCAGCCAAGTCGGGCCACGCCCACCTATTCATATCCGAACCACAGACACCTGCTCACTATAACAAGGCAGAGCTGAGTAGATGTCACAGGGACCATACTGCCCACAGATCCCTGGGCTCACACAGGGGCCCAGGTCTGGCAAAGTTTTTTTTTCAAATTGATTTCAGAGAGGAAGGGAGAGGGGGAGAGAGAAACATTAATGATGAGAGAGGATCATTGATCGGCTGCCTCCTGCACACCCCCTACTGGGGATTGAGCCCACAACCCGGGCATGTGTCCTGCCCGGGAATGGAACCATCGAACCGTGACCTCCTGGTTCACAGGTCGATGCCCAACCACTGAGCCATGCTGACTGGCCCTGCAGAGAAATGGGCAAATTAAGGCCTGGGCATGTGGAGCTGCCCTTCATTCTGAGGTGATGGCACCGAGTCAGGCGTGCCTTGCTCTGTAGCTCCTCACCCAGGATCAGGCACCCTGCTCAGCATCTCTGTTCTTGCCTGGCGGGCACACGGCCCTGGGTTCAAATCCCGACTCTGCACGTCCTGGCTGTGTGACCTCTGGCAGTGTATCCAGCCTCTCTCTGCCTCAGTTTCCCCTGCAAGATGGAGACGCAATAAGATCCACCTCCCAGCATCGTGCTTTAAAACACACCCGGGACACAGAAAACGCTCAGCGGATAATTATAGAAGAGCAGAGCCATTTAGGTGACTTTTCTAGAAAACTGTACTTGCCCCGCTGAGACACCTTCTGGAATGAACTCGTTCCAAACTGGATCACTCCCCTCCCCGGCGTGGTGAGAGTGGAAGACACAACTGGCCACTTGCTCTTTCCCTGAGTAACCTGAGTCATGGCCATGACGGCGGTTACTGTCTGCGTCAGTCACAGCACAGACACGGACGGGGTGTGGGATGGTTCCTCCACCCAGTGATCCGGGTGGCCTCTCTCTGAGGGGTTTTCCTCATGTTTCTGCACCTGCTTTGCCACTGGCTTCCAGCTCCTGGTAAAGGACCCGCCTCTGCTGGCACAGCTCCCTCCTACTCAATAGCTACTTGCTTAGTCTACGGAACCGGGTGAGAATGCGTGTTAGAGCTGTGTCCAAACTAAGGGTCGGCAGGCCCAGAGTGGAGCCTCAGGGACTTCTTCCTGAGCAGACGGTGTTGCTTTAAGGCTGACGGCGTCTGGCCTTTTGCTGCCTGTATTCCTAGCTCCCGGTGAGGCGGGCAGGCGAGGGTGCTGTATGCGAGGCATACATCACCGTGCCCCTAACAGCGACACAGCTGCGGGCCCACGTTCTCCAGGTCTGTGCTTTTGTAAGAATATTCTCCAAAGCTGTTGGCTTTACACGACGCCAGTCACGCTGCTGTTCAGTTCAGGGCTATCCGCGGTTTGCTAACCCCAGACACTGGCCTCCCGAGAGCAGGGGCCAGGCCTGGGCCACTCCTGGGCCACCAGCAAAGAGCAGATGTTCCAGCCACATGGCCGGTCCATTCAAACCAACTCTCTCCCCAGCTGCTCTCTGGTGTGATGCCCGCATGTTAACATGCGCACCTCACGATCCCTGAAGCTTCCCAATCCCAGAGAAGGACAAGCGGTGAGATGGAGGGGCCACCTGCTTCCCACCGGGGAACGGCTCCAGGAGGAGAGACAGACATCCCTGTCTAAGGAGGCCTGCGCCGCCCAGTGGAACGGGCACCTGTTACCACTTTCCCGGAAGGAACATGTCTAGTGTCGCCCCAGGGCGAGGTTGACGAGTTCCTTTGAACTCCAATGTGAGTTTTGTAAGAAATAATGGTTTATAAATGGAAGCTCAGTCACCGTTTCTAGAGACTTGCCAGTGATGGGCACTCTCTTAGGGCGTTCATAGTCCCAAGTCTTCATTTCCCATTCAGAGAAACGAGGCTCAGAGAGGGGAGGCAACCTGCTCAGGGTGGCACAGCAGAGCCGGACACAGAATCCAGGCCTCGCCGTTGCCATCCCGATAGTCCCTGCCCTACAGCCCACGGCTCCTGAGGTGTTCCGTCTGCCACTCAGTGTAGCCGAGATCTCGGGAGGATGCCCTGGAGAAAACAGCGAAAAGCAGGGCTGCTCCTGGGGACCGGGAAGGGCCTGGCCGTGCCCTGCCCGGGGGCCTCTGAGTGCGAAACGCACTCGGGCTGCGGGTGAGCAGGGCCCGGGGCAGGCGAAGGTGCTGGTCTGTGTGAGCCACGGGGTCCTGCCCTTGAGTCACTCAAATCACGCGTCCTGGCTGACATTTCCATCCTTGGAGAAATGATGCGGGTTGGTCAGTAATGGGCCTTGGAGAGTTGTCACCCGCTTGTTGGTAATTATAGAGCCTTAATGGGGCTAATTCAGAGACAAGCCAGCTCAAGCCCCTGCCGGTTCCTCTGAGGCTGAAGGGCCCTCTGCTCTGCCCACGGAGACCGAAGGCATCACTTTGACCTTGGTTTGCACCTGGACTTTCCTCACCCGAACACCCTTGGGCATAGGAAATCGGCCCTGTGTGTGTGTGTGTGTTTCAAGAAAAATGTCTGCCTCTCAGAAAGTTTTAAAAATCTATGGCAAGAGCCACAAACATGATCAAGCCTGACCTGAAAGCATTTTGTAGTTGGAGAAACGGAGGCACTGAGCTGGGCACTGCAAGGGGACAAAGGAGAATGAGCCACACATCCTCCAGAGCTCAGAGGCAGAGGTAGGGCTTTTATGCATCCACTCGTCCCCCCGCTTTAAGCCGTTCAAGTTCTCCGCTGCCTCCTGGACTCATCTCAACCTCCTCCGTGTGGCATTCAAGGCCCTCGGCTCCTCTGGGATGTGATGGCTTTGGCCTCCTCGTTAATCTTTCCCCCTTGACTTCAGCCACTTAACCTACTGCTCTGCCTCCGCTGGGCTGTTTCCTACACCTCGGCACCTGCTGGGCAGTCCCTCTACCAGGGGCACCGCCCTTCCTCCCTCCACTCGACCAGTCGGCTTCCTCCCTCCCTCCCGCCTCTGAGTGGAGTCTTCCCTGTGGTGAACTCTGCCAGCCAGTGCTTGGCAGTGGGTTCCTGCCTCCCTGTCCTCACTGCTGGGCTATTGGTGCCTTTTGATGTCCATAAACTCTCTGATGACAGAGCCTGTGTCTCAGTCATTCTTGAGTCTCCATGCCCAGCACAGTGCCTGACACAGGGTTGGCCTTGCGATGTTGAGTGGCATAACAATTCGGTTCGGGCAGAACATGACTGGTTCAAAGGAAGGACATCACTGCTAGCAGGCCCAGGAAGTGGCCCCAGCCAAGGGCCTTCGGGGCAGGCCTCATGGCGATTTCCTCACTCCTTTCTTGCTCCAGGCCTGCATGGCATCAGTCCTGCCCCAGCCCGGGCGGAATCCGGCCCGGCAGGCGGAAACATGGGTACCTGATGCAATCCTGGCCAGTGAGGCAGAAAGACAGGTCTCCTGGGGGGTCTGGGAGAGATTTCCTCACTCTTACACTGAGATATGGGAGCGGAAACTGACCCTTATCAAAGTTAGGATTCTGCCCGGCCGGTGTGGCTCAGTGGCTGAGCATCGACCTATGAACCGGAAGTCACGGTTTGATTCCTGATCAGGGCACATGCCGGGATGGTGGGCTTGCTCCCCAGTGTCAGGTGTGCAGTGCAGGAGGCAGCCAATCCATGATGCTCTCTCATCATTGATGTTTCTCTCTCTCCCTCCCTCTCCTTTCCTCTCTGAAATAAATAAAAATACATATATTTTTAAAAAGGATCCTATTGCTACATATGATGGTTGGATCTGCAGCAGCCACCTTGGACCACGAGGGAGGTCAGCCGGAGAGGACATGAGCATGGCCTCGTGGAAAGGCAGACAGAACCATCATTCCTGCTGTTGCTGATGAGTTGCTGTCTACATGTCCCCGGTGCCACCAACCTCGACAGTCCTCAGTGTGTAACACAGTTGCGTTTTCTGTTACTCGCATCCCAAAGCATTCTAGTCATTACAGTTTTGAAGAATGGACTGGGTTTCCACAGGTGGAGAGTGGGTGGGCAGGGAAGAGGTACATGAAGAGGGTGGGCCATAGAGCCCGTCTGGAGGGCAGCAAGCCTCAGAGTCCAGCTCAGGTGGACACACTGTGGACCACGGGGAAGGGGCACCTCTACCTCCAGCACTCCCTGCCTCTTCTCCCCAACAACACTCCTCCGTCAGATCAGTTTGGAACGTGCCAACGTGGTGCGTGTGCCTTGAGGTGACTTACAAAGGATGAGCTTTAAAGGGAAGGAAGAAAAGGCCGAATAAATAAACCGCGCTTCCCTCCTGGCCTTGGACAACAGACCAACCGCCCTAATTTCTTTTTGTTAGAAGAGAGCTAATCCAATAATTAGGGCAGCAAATAGCATAACCCTGGCTAAAGCTGTAAAGAACCATCTGGCTTGAATCATTTAGGCTTCTCCCAGGGATCTGGTTGTCAGAGCCAAGAGGCGACGGTGGCCTGGGGTACTGGGTGGAGAGCAATTCTGCCCCAGAACTTGGTCCCTCGGGGGACAGGAGCCAAGATTTCTGTGTTCCCGTGCCTGGCATGTTTGCTCAGCCACTGATGGTGGGCTGCCCCTTGGAGGCGATCAAGGGGCCCCAGCTGGCCCTGGCTCAGCCACATTCTCTCCTTCCTAGCTCTGTTCAGCAGTCAGCAGAGTGTCCTGGTGATAGGGGTGTGCCCAGCTCACGGCTCAGGCTGGCAAGGCCGTGTCCAGGGCTGCCTTGTACCGCCGACCCCAAGTGAGTCTGTCCCCTGCGAGGACTCGTGGGCTCTCTGGGCCCAGGCCCCAGCCCTGTTGCCTCTCTGCTGCTAGGACAGTGCTCTGAGAAGGAGTGCCGAGTGGATGGCCCGAGTTTGGGGCTCTCTGGTCCCCTCCGTGCCGTGGGTTCGGGGTCAGCCAGAAGAAATGACACTTTTCTCTCTTCTGCTGTATGTTACCCAGAGGACCCTTGTGGCACATGGAGGGCTGCCCCAAGCTCAGGCAGAAGCCCTGCCTGCCGCACCCCCTCCCTGGGCGTGGAAGGAAAGATGCTGCAAACAGAACAAGTTCCCCATCCCTTCTTCCGGAGGTGACTCTGGATTCAGCACATCCAAGGGGGGGACTTGGGTCCCAGTTAGGGACCGCTAGAGGCACAGCAAGTGTGGGGGTGCGGGTGCGCTTTGCCCAGGGCGCCAGGGACTGGGGGTGGGGAAGATCCAGGCACAGCCCTGAGGCCAATCAACTCTCCCAATTCCATTTCCCCAGCTGGCAGATAAGTGGGGGGAGAGGCCTGCTCCCCGCTGAAGCGGGTGGTGGGGGGGCAGGGCCTCAATACCCAGCCTCTGGCTGCAGGGCTGTGGTCCAGGCCCAGAGAAAGTGCACAGAAGGCAGTTTTCCCACACAGGCCTGGGCTCTGACCCGCCCGCCTCAGCTGATGTCCTTCCTGGGCTCACTCCCCCGGGCCTCCTAGGTAGGGCGATGGGAGACCGCTGCCCCCCGCCCCCAGGGCTGATAACCCCACCATCAGCATCAGAGGCACATTTTATGCAGGAGGGTACGCCAGACCCCCCAGCCCGAGGCCCCTGTGAGCTCCGGAGCCAGGCGCAGACAACCTCGCTGCGCTGCGCGGGGGGGATGGGGCCCGGTGGGCCTTGGCGACGCCCGCGAGTGACCCTGCCCGGAAAGGTGCACACCCTGGGCAAGGCTGGCGTTTGACGCGGGTTTTCCAGGGCTGAGAGTGACGTGCTGCGCTGCAGCCGGGCTGGGGGCCTTGCAGGTGGCGCGCCCCCCTCCCCACTCCCATCTGGCTCTAACGCATTCAGCACCGCGTAGCGACCTCTTCAGCCTCCGCGTCCCCTGCAGTCCGGGCCGGGCGGGGCTCAGAGACCCGAAAGGCGCCAGCAGCGCCCACCGCCGGCCTCGGCCCCGGGGGACCCGGGTGCTCGCCTACTCGCTGGGGCTCGGGGCTCGGTCCCGGGAGAAGGAGGCGCGGGCTGGGGGCCCTTCCCGGCCGGGGCGGCGGGCGTAACAGGTGGGCGGAGGCCGGCGGCCCCGCGAGCGCAGCGGCCGGGGTCCACGGACCCGGGGGAGGGACCGCCAAGGTTTCTCCAAAAGACAAGCAGCCCCGCAGTCCTCGGTCCCCGGCCCGCGCGCCAGCAAAACCGCCGCGCTCTGCGGGCCGCCGGCCCACCGGAGGCCAGCCCGGCCCCGGGCCCCCTCCCCGCGCGGCTCCAGTCCAACCCTCGGCCCCGAGCCGGCCCGCAGCGGGCTCCCGGCTCCGAGCGGCCGCGCAGGCGGCAGCAACTGGTGTCTCCCAGGGCGCAGCTCCGCCCTTCCCGGGAACAAAAGCCGCCGCCCGCGCCCGGGCTCCAGCCGAGACGGGGTGCGGCGCGGGCTCCAGGGAGCCGGGCCTCGGAAATGGGACACCCCCAGGGGGCGCCCCCAAACTTCCCACCCCTCCGGCCCGGGTGGAGGGAGCTGCCGGGACGGGGTCGGCCGGGCGCGAGAGGACCGGGCGAGGGGCCGCGACCCGCGGGGGTGCGTGCAGAGGGCACGGGGACCGCAGGCGGCCCGCGGGCCCTCGAGGTCGGGAGCGCGTGGGCAGCGGAGCCGCGGGAGCGGGCGCGAAGGCGGCGAGTTGGAAACTTACTGCAGTCGTCGGACTCGTAGCCGTCGGCGTCCGGCTCCTCCTCGGGCGGCTTGGCGGGCGGCCGCGCGGGGCTCGGGCCGGGGCCGGGGCCCGGGCTGGCGCCGTAGGCTCCGAAGAGCTGGTCCACGTCCTCTTCGTCGTCGCGGGCGCCGTCGGAGGGGCTGCGGCGGCCCGCGCCGGTCGCGGCCGGGCGCGCGGGGGCGTCCGGGGGCGCAGCGGCGCGGGGCCCCGCGGCCGGGGGCAGGCCCCGCGGGAAGCGGGGGAAGTAGTCGGAGATCTGCTTGATGGGCCGGATGGGGCCGGGGCACACGTCGATGGCCATATGCTCCTGGATGCTGATGGTCGCCTTCTCCCCGCGCCGCCGGAGGGTCATGCAGGCAGCGCGGTCCCGCCCGGGCGCGGCCCGGCCTGGTCTGGCGCAGCCCGGCCGGGGGCGGCTCGGGAAGCCGGCGGGGCGCGCGCGGGTGTGGGCAGCGCCGGCGGCGCCCCCGGGACGGCCCTGACGCGGCGGCGACCTGCTCGGCGGCGGCGGGCGCGAGTGAGTGCCGGGGGCCGGCGGGCGGGGGGCGGGCCCAGCCGCGTCACCCGGCAGCAGCCAAGCAGTGCGAGTGTGCGGGCGGCGCGGGCGGCGCGGAGCCGGAGCCGGAGCTGGAGCCGAGCGCGCCGAGCGCCGCACTCACCGGCGCTCACACCGCGCGCACGCCGGCCCGGGACCCCGCGCGCGCACACACGCGGGAGGGCAGGGCCACCTGGGCGCCTTCCACTCGCGCGCGGTCGCAGGACTAGCGGGGAGCTGAGCAGGGACACGCAGGACGCACACCCGCACGTTCCCGCCCGTGCCAGCCCCGGCCGGGTCCCGTTCCTTCTCACAGGACACACGCAAGCTGTGCAAGGACGTTCCAAACACACAAACGTGTGTGGACAGTCGGCGGGAGTGCCCACTAGCTCATATCTTTGCAGGACACACACACACACAAACATATGTGTCCACACTGAGTTGGTTGAGTACACCTCTAACATAATACACCAGCACATGGGCACAGAGGTGGCCAGGGGCTGGGCACACATGCCTCCAAGCACACCTCACAGGGCACACAAACACACCGCAGAAGTGATGGAGGGTTTTGCACAGACATCCCCCTGCCACACACACACACACACACACACACACACTCACATCTAGTGGATACACAGCCGCGCTCCTAGGAATGTGGGCACACACTGCTCACACACTAGCAGGGCATGTGCATCTTCCGCTCGCCAAGGTCATTGCTGGCACAGTCTGCTCACACTTCCTCTCAGGTCGCAGGCGAACATTCTGTAAACTCAACTTAGCTCCTTGCTTAACCAGAGAGTAGTTAAAGGGACCCATGGGAGCAGGCCGGGAGAACCTTGATCTCCAGCTGTGGGCAGGCAGGGCCCGTCAGAGAGACCTTCCCAAGGAGAGATGGACAGGCGGAGGTGGCGAGCAGGGTGTGGTCTGCTCATCGCCCGGGCCTCACACGGTCAGATAAATAAACAAATCCCAGACAGCCCAGCCCTGGCTGCTGTCCTGCTTTCCGGGAACAGAGCTCTGCGGGGGAATGGCTGCTGCTTATACAGGTGTGTCCCCGGAAAGCCCTGGGCATGGACGGAATCCTGTTTACTCGCTGGTTTCTAGTGACAAATCAGAAATGCTATCTTCTTGGCTGGGTCCTTTCCTTGAGTCTGAATGAGGGGCCGCAAGCCTGGGCCCCTCCCTCCACCATAACCCCCGTGGAGGGGTGGGGAGCAGAGAGAAAGGAGAGGAGGCCTGTCTTCATCACTTCCAGCTGCATCACCTGGCAGATCATTTGATCTCTCTGAACCTCAGTTTCCTCATCTGTGAAATGGGGCTAATTCAAATCTCATAGCCCTCCTGTCACCGAGTGTGACAGATAAGAGGTGCCCAACAGGGCTGCTTTCTCTTCTCCCTTCCCTTGGGAGATGAACTCTGGTGAGAAATGATGGAGAACCATATGTCATTTCACGGTAAGTTCTGCATTGGGTAGTGATGGTCACTATCACTGAAAACTATGGTAAATTGTGTCAAGAATGTTTGATGATGTCATCTCACAGGTTCCTTATACTACCCCCTGACGTAGGCAGGGTTTCCTGTTCCCTTTTCGCAGTGAGGAAAGTAACTTGCCCAGGGTGACTGCTGGCTGGTGGCAGGGCTGGCATGAGAATCCAGCTCAAAAAGTGGAAGACTTTTTGAGGCTTCCACTCCCCCTCTCTGGTCTCTCCCTCCTCACCCCTACAGAGCTCCGGGGATCAGAGCACAACTGGAGACAGGGGTAAAACCTTGTTCCCCAAACCTTCTCCTGAAGCTTCTTGGATGGGGGCAGTCCAAACCGCGGAGGAGGAAAAGGGGAAGAGAGGGAGGGCCAGAGTCCTCAGGGGTCACAGTGGGAATGGACCAGCCGGAGGGCTCCCTGAGGACGATCTGGGATCCTGATGGGAGGAAAATTCAGCCTTGCAGGAGTCAAAGGCCAAGGGAAGGACAGGCGAGCCTGGAAGCCAAACACAATGGGTTTCTCACTTCCAGGAATGCTTATGGGGATTAGTCCTTAATTGGCACAGAATGACTTCTTCCGTGCCAGAGGTGGCTGCAGCACCGGGCGATTATGTAATGGCACAGGGTGTGAAGATACAGACACGGAGCCATCATTTCATAATTCTTTCACTTGGGGAATAAGAGAGTGTTGTCATCGTCTTACAGGTGGGGAAACCGAGGCTTCAGAGCGTGAAGCGACGGAATGAGAGCGTAGATATTCTGGCCCCTGTCCCTGTGTTCTTTTTGACATCAAAGCTCTACCCATGTTCACTGGGGGTGGGGACAGAAGAGGGCTGACAGCTCCATCCTGGCCTCCTGTGGGTCTGGTTTTCTGGAAGATCAGGCTCTTGGCTCTGAAGGTGCTGGCTTTGGGCAGGATCTAGAAGTTGGGTAGAGGGCTGAGGCTCTGAAGCACAGAGCCGGGGGCCCTAGGATGCGGGCTGGGGGCCTCCGGCAGGTGGGGGAGCCAAGAGCCACTCTGAGGTCTGAGCTTGTCTAGCTCTGAGCCCTGTTGAGATGGAGTAGGGCCTCTGGAGGGTGGGATTGGTGTTAGCGGGGCAGGTGTGCAGTGGGCTGTGGAGCAAGGCCGACTTGATTCAAAAGCCAGTGCCTCCCTCCTGCTGTGTCTGACTTGGGTAAGTCACTTAACTGAGGCCTCAGTCTCACCTGTGGGACGGAGGAGGCCGTGAACGACCTCATAACTGGAGATGGGGACGGATAGAAGGTGCGTTGCGCAGTGCCTGGCACGCAACAGGCACGCAGGGAGTTGTAGTTCTCCTGCCTGTGCCTTCCCGGTGCAAACCACCCTCATCTGGCCTGGGCCTGCCTCAGTTTCTCTACCAGTGAAGTGCAGTCGGCTGCCTTCTCCCTGCCTGCTGCCAGGACCAGGTGAGGACGAAGGGGGAAGTGCATTGTGAAGCGGAGGTACTTGCTGGGTTACCAGCTGTCATGTGTGGGATCTCTAAGCAGCTGGACATGCCCAGACCCCATCAATCATGTCACCTCTAGTTCCCCTGTTGGGTGGGCGGCTCAGCATTTTGGAATGGCTGAGTAGAGTCTGCCCTTGGTCAGAGCCCTCAGGAACGCTGCGGCCTCGCACCCGCCCCCCGCCCCCCGCTTCTCTCACAGGCTTCTAGGCTCTCAGCAACACACAAAGGCTCTTTCTAATGAGGTAGAAGTGGGTTCTGGAAGGATGGCCCTGGGTGCATCTTATCGTGCACCCTGGGTTATTTTTATGCACAATTATTTTTATGAGACTCGCTGGGCCAGAAGGTGCTAATGGTTTAATACAGTGATTCTCACCTGTTTTGCTGCCTCCACACTGTTCAATGTGCAGCACCTGGGATGCGTGCGTCAGACTGCCTCGAGCGCTCTGGGGACTCTGATACGTGCCGCTTTGGGCTTTATGACCCGTTTCCTGGCTAAGAACCACCAGGGAAAGCTCTTCCTTCCAGTAAGTGAGAGGCACTTTAGAGGAAATGACCTTTGCCCTGCACTCGGCTGGCTGTCCTTGGCTGGCAGGTCTGGCTGGTGTCTGCGTGCTCGGGGAGGAAGGGCCCGCCCTGGCCCTGGCCTAGCTTGTACCCCCTCTTTCCACCCTCCCCTGATCACGCAGCTCTTGACATGCTGACAGAACCTTCTCTATATTAACAGCCATTTCTAGCTCAAAGGCGGGGCCAGTGGCTGATGGAGTGGGCGCCTGTCCACTCATTTCTTTACGGATCCACCTTCAAACACATATTTATTGAGCACCCACTCTGTGATGGGCCCCAGGCTGCATTCTGTAAGGGCCGGTGATGCACGAAGCCCCATTTTTCCTTTAGATTCCGACAACAAAGGGCAAATCAGGAGGGGACACAGGAGCTAGCCACTCCGGCTGATAGCTGCCTCTTCCTTGGCCCAGACCGTGGCTTGGCACAGGGAGTGTGGTGGATGCCAACGTAAGCAAGGGGATGTAAAAGTTTGCAATATAGCCGATGGCAGCGGAGAGGCGAACTTGATGTATTAAGCGATATTAAAAATGCAGCTCTTCCTGATAATTTATTATGCACATTCTCATAAAGACATTACACTCGTCACAGTACATTTACTAGCTCTCGTCCTACCAGTGGGGAAAAGTTCACACTTACCTAATGATGCCATTGTGCAGCAGGCAGATGCTCTTGGAGCCACTGTGATGAGCTAAATGGCTCCGAGAGATGCTCATCTCGCCCAGCCGGTGTGGCTCAGTGGTTGAGCATCGACCTATGAACCAGGAGGTCACGGTTTGATTCCCAGTCGGGGCACATGCCCGGGGTTGTGAGCTGGATCCCCAGTGTGGGGTGTGCAGGAAGCAGCCGATCGATGATTCTCTCTCATCATGGATGTTTCTATCTCTCTCTTCCTCTCCCTTCCTCTCTGAAATCAATAAAAAGAAGTTTTTAAGAAATTGAAGAAAACTGCCTTTATAAAAAGAAAAAAAAGAGAGGTGCTCATCTTCTCCCCCCACCATACCTGTCCAATGGCTTGCAGACCACAGGCCTGTGACACCCGCCCTCCTCTACCCCCCTGTCTTTCCACGTAGACCTGAGGCCTATTGAGATGGAGGGCCTGACGCGAGGCCACCTGCGGCAGACCTGGAATCACACGCAGCGGCTGAGTGCAGGGCCGTGCTCTCTCTCCCACCACACAGGCCACGGGCTGAGCTGCCGGACTGAAAAGGGGTCAAGGGGAGAGGCTCACCTGCCAGGAGGGGCTTAGCCCAGGATCAGGCTGCCTCTTCCTGGAAATCAGAGGCCAGGGAGGGATCATGCTGGATCTGAGGCTCTGGAAATAACCTGGTGGAGGACAGGGGGTGTAGCCTGTGGCTTAGGGGAGAGCGGGGGTGAGGCCGTGCCCCCACCCTCACCCTGGAAGCAGCCGGGAGACCGCCGGAGCCCAGGGTCTTGCTCAAGTGCCTTCTGAACTGGGGAGCACATCTCAGTGTTGTGAACGGGTTGGGAGGGGCAGGAGCTCTGACTGGCAATTTTGAAACCCAGGACCAACAGCCACAGATGTTCCCTTAAATAGCTTTGCATTACGGATGCAGTTCAGAAGGTATTAACAATGCAAATGGTGGCTTCTCATTTTAACTCATTTTACTTTTTAAATTTATGAAATATTTCAGTCATTCCAAAAAAAAGGCCTAGGGTATGATGTCGTCTGCCCATACCCACCAACCAGCTTAAAAAAGTAAATGACAGGTCCCCCTAAAAGCTAAACCTAGAATGACCATGTCATCCAGCAACCCCATTCCTAAGTATATCCCCCCAAGAATTGGCAGCAGGGACTCCGATACTCATACACCCAAGTTCATGGCAGCATTGTTCATAATGGCCCAAAGGGAAACAACCCAAATTCTCCAAGTGCAGAAACAAATGTGGTACGTCAATTCAGTGGAATATTATTCAGCCCTGAAAAGGAATGACGTTCTGATATATGCTACTATCTAGATCCATGGTCAGCAAACTGAGGCTCATGAGCCACATGTGGCTCTTTGGCCCCTTGAGTGTGGCTCTTCCTAAGCCTTAGGAGTACCCTAATTAAGTTAATAACAATGTATCTACCTATATAGTGTAAGTTTAAAAAATTTGGCTCTCAAAAGAAATTTCAGTCGTTGTACTGTTGATATTTGGCTCTGTTGACTAATGAGTTTGCCGACCACTTATCTAGATGAACCTTGAAGACATGTTAAGTGAAATGAGACAGACACAAAAGTACAAAATATTGTATTATTTTACTTATATGAAATACCTAGAATAGGCAAATTTATAGAGACAGAAAGAGCAGAGGTTGACAGGGGCTGGGGGAGGGGGAGGAGAGAATGGGGAGTTATGGCTTAACAAGTACAGTGTTTCTGTTAGGGATGATGAAGAAAAAGTTTTGGAAAGAAGTAGTGGTGATAGTTGCACAATATTATGAATAATGTCATTGAATTGTGTACTTAAAATGATTAAAACTGCAAATTTTGTGTTATATTTTACAACAACTAAAACAAAACAGCACAAATGCATTTGAAATCCCCCAATATTCCTCTCCCATCCACTGCTCTCCCCAGAGGCAATCGCTATCTTTAAAAAAAAATGTTTTCATTCATGGACACAGACAATAGTGTGGTGAAGGCCTTGGGTGAGGGCTGGGTAGAGGGGGGAAGTTGGGGGGGGGGGAATAGGGGGCATCTATAATACTGTCAACTATAAAAATAAACTTTAAGAACGTGATTTTATTGATTTTTAGAGAGAGGAATTCAATACAGTGACTGTGTCCTGGCTGGTGTGGCTCAGTGGTTGAGCATCATTCCATGCACCAAGAGGTCACCGTTTCGATTTCTGGTCAGGGCACATGCCCGGGTTGTGAGCTCAGTCCCCTGGTGGGGGGCTTACAGGAGGCAGCTGATCGATGCATTGCTCTGACATTGAACTCTCCCTCTCCCTCTCCCTCTCCCTTTCCCTTCCCCCTCCCCTCCCCCTCCCCCTCCCCCTCCCTCTCCCTCTCCCTCTCCCTCTTTTCTCCCCTCCTCTCTCCCTAAAAATATCAATAAAAATTAAAAGTAGAAAAAAATAAGCCCACAATGAAAATAAATTTTTAATTGCACCATTAAAAATAATAATTCAGCTGAAACCGGTTTGGCTCAGTGGATAGAGCGTCGGCCTGTGGACTGAAGGGTCCTGGGTTCGATTCCGGTCAAGGGCATGTACCTGGGTTGCGGGCACATCCCCAGTAGGGGGTGTGCAGGAGGCGGCTGATCGATGTTTCTCTCTCATCGATGTTTCTAACTCTCTATCTCTCTCCCTTCCTCTCTGTAAAAAATCAATAAAATATATTAAAAAAAAATAATTCAAAGAGATCTTAAAAGCTCTCATTACTGGTGACAGATGTTAACTAGACCTATTACAGTAATCATCTCACACTGTATACTGATATCAAATCATTATGTTACACACCTGGAACTAATATATGGCAATTATGCTTCCTAAATCACATCTGCCGCTCAGGCAGGGTGGTGGGGGGGTCAGACCCCGGAGAGGGGGCACCGAGTCCATGGGACGGAACGTCACTCACCCTCTCCTGCTGCAACTGACCACGCCTCACCCGCGAGGCCAGGCATCTCCGCTGGCCCCAGCCCTCTGGGAGCCCCAGGGTCTGAGGAACAGTCTGGAAACTTCTGGCCCCAGAGAAAGCCCCAAAGCACAGCCAAGCAGGCCCCTCAAATGGCATTCCCTAAGCTCGTCACTCACGATCCACCTTCTCGGCTGAGACCTGCATTAGTATCTACTTAGTGTTTCTCTTCAAACACTTAAAAATGCTTTAAAAAGAAAAAAAGAAATAAAAAGGCCTAGGCCCCAGCACCTGGATGAGGTTTGTCCTGTCCTCCCCCCCCCGCCCCCCCGCCCCACTGCTGGGTCCCTGAGCCCCCAGCTCTAGTCCTCAGCGCCTGGCCAGAACCAAGGCCTCAGCCTCAGTCCTGAACCCCGGGGTGGAGGGGGAGGTCCGACCCCTCGGGCTGAGCATCACACGCCCTCTGGGTGCTGCAGACCCACGGGCTCCCCCTGCCTTCTGGGTCATGCAGCCCCCCTCCCTCTGTGCAGCCGGTGCCCAAACACACCCGTACACCTGGCCCCGCGCCTCTGCTGCTGCCCTCACCTGCCCTGACCCTGGGCACATCCTATGCTGCCCTCGGGGCCCTGCGCCGCTGTTCTTCCCACAATGGCCCCTTGTGACCTCTCTGCCACATCCCAGCGCTGGCCACACTTCTTTTTCCCCCCAGGGGAGAGCGCGAACGCAGTCCCCACCAGCACAGATTATGCAGTTGAGTTTTCCACGTTTAGGGAAATCGCAGGGGTCAGCATATCCGAGTGCCATGGATAAGCCTCGCCCTGGGAGAACCGCCTTCCTGACCTGGTATCTCCCCTGCCCGGTGAGTGTTGATTGATTTTAGAGAGAGAGGAAGGGAGAGGGAGCTAGGAATATCAATGAGAGAGAAACACGGATCGGCTGCCTCCAGCAGGCCCCCCACCAGGGATCGAACCCACAACTGGGGCATGTGCCCTGACTGGTTCATGGGTCGATGCTCAATCACTGAGCCACACGGGCCAGGCTCATGCTCACCTTTCAGAGCTCAGCTCAAGGTCATCTCCTAGAGAGGCCTGACAACCCTACGGAAGCCGCTGTGTTCAGGACCTGCTCCCTGTGTATGTCCCTGGGGGCAGGGACCTAGCACAGTGCCTGGCCCAGGCCTGGCGGCCCTCAGTTCCCTTCAACAGTGGCTGAAGGGAGGGATCTGAGCGCCTAGCAGCCGGTCCAGCTGTGGCTGGCTGGGGGAGACCTCGGGATCACAGGCGGGGCAGCTGGGAGGAAGGAGGGAGGGGAGGCCAGCGGAGGCCCTGCCAACCAGTCCTCCAGGCCTTCTCCGGCTCCTCCCCAGGCCGGCGGGCGGCCTTGGAGACAGCGGCATTTAGAGGGAGGAGGTAGGGAGAGCGGAGGGTCATCCATCAGCCAGAGACGTGGAGAGCCTGGTAAATCAGGCACGCTGTCTGAGGCCCCTCGGCCAAGTGTCTGCCTGGTGCTCCGGGCGTCTGGGAGGCAGGCGGAGGGGCCTTCAGCCCAGCTCCCCCGTGGGGGCTGGGGACAGCCCAGGCCACTCCAGGGACACCTGGTTGAAGAGGGGGGCCCAGGCAGTGCTCCATGCCCACCGCCTGCCCTGCCTTCAGGCACCTCGGCGTGTGATCCCAGAGGTGGCAATTACCTTATGTAATCCTCACCCCATCTTGCAAGGGATTTTGTTTTAATTATTTTGAATTTCAATAGACAAGAGTATAGAGACGAACATAACAAACCCGAAAACATACCCACCAAAATGAACAGTCCCATCTTTTTTTAGAGAGGTGTTTCAGCTTTAAAAATGTGAATTATAACATAGAAATTTGCATAAAACACAGATGCACAGTGTAATGAAGAGTTACAAAGCAAACACCAGCATAATCGCCACCGCATCCTCACAGAAGTCCTGCAGGAGGAAGCTGCCCGCCCCCCCCCCCCCCCCCCCCGCCCCCAGCCGCCTGGGATGCGGCTGTGTCTTTCACACACTTCCCCTGCCCCTGCATATTCTAATTTTTATGACACTATTGCCTAGGTTTCCTGGTCTTTTAAACATATAAACACTGCCCAGCTGGCTGACTCAGCGGTTGAGCATCGACCTATGAACCAGGAGGTCAGGTTCATGCTGGGGGTGAGGGCTCGATCCCCAGTAGGAGGCAGCCAGTCGATGGTGTTTCTCTCTCATTGATATTTCTATCTCTCTATCCCTCTCCCCCCTCTCTAAAATAAATAAAAACATATTTTACAAAATATAAATTAAAAAACACACATTACAGATAAAAATCTCCCTTCCTGAGCACCAGCCCCATCCCAGGGGGAAGCATAATGAAAAACTGATGTATATCATTCCCGACTCCGTTTGATATTTGTACTTGTGTTATATGGTATAAAACTTTTAATAAATGGCATCAATACTGCACGTCGTATTCTGCCACTTGCTTTCCCACTTAACTCTAAATGCTTTATAAAAACAGCTTTATTGAGGTGTAATTTATACACCATAAAACTCAACCATTGGAAGCATATGATTTAATGATTTTTGGTCAATTTGCGGAGTTGTGCAACCATCAGCACAATCCAATTCTGGAACATTTCCACCCCTCCTAAGACGTCTAAATGCGTTTTCGTTTTCTCTGTTTTTCTCTAAATGCTTTTTGATATACATTTTAATAACTGCCCCATATAAAGCCCTTACTTTGTGCCAAACACTGTCCTAAGAGCATTCTGTAAGTCACGCATTTAAGCCACGTCGGTGAGTATTCTTAGGGACAATGGCGGGGCGGGTGGTGGGGCACAGGGAGGGTGAGTAACCTCCAAGGTCACAGGGCTGGAGGCAGCAGAACAGGCTCCGGACCCAGCCCTTGCACCCCAGCGCCCACACCTGAACGGTCTCACGCCACAGCCGCTCTGAGTCTGCGCATCGTTCCTGCCCTGCGCTATGCCAGGCAAACACCTTCACCCCCCGGAGGAGAAACTGAGGCCCAGGGACGGGAAGCAGCAGAGCTGGGGTTTGAATCCAGATCTAAGTGACTCCCGGCCCTCTGGCCCTTTCTAGTCCCCTCTGTCGCTCTTCTTTTTCATCACAGGAAAGGGAAAAAGGGGGAGACAGGAGGAAGAGGGAGGGTGCAAAGCGAGAGAGAGACGTAGGAGCCAACTTTCATGTATACGCACGAACACATGCACATACACTGGTGCACACACCTGCACACCCACACAGGGGCACACGGCCACACGCATGTGCACGTGTACATACGCCCAGCTGTGCACTCACGCAGCCCTCCAGAGTTGGTGTTCAGAGGCCCTTTCTTGCTCCGAGTGAAGAGACTGTGTGTGTGTGTGTGTGTGTGTGTGTGTGTGTGTGTGAGGTGGGGGTTCACCTGGTGGGATCCCCTGGTGGCCCCGTGTCAGGGTCCAGGCCTGGGAAATGCCCTGTCATGGCCGGCCCCTCCCTGCTGGGAGGGTTTGACCTCCGGTACCCACAGCCTCTCTTTGCCCAGCTGCCGGGGGCCTTTGCTATATAAAGTTTCAGCGCCAGGGCAACAGCGGGCGCCATCTCCCGGGACTTCGCTGAGAAGCCCGGGGCCAGCCCAACCCCGCGTGCTGGGAGCCGAATCCGTGCGTCTCTGCTCGCTGGCCTGGATGCTTCCTGTCCCCAAAGATCACTCCTGTACCCGGAGCCGTTTGAACCTATGCAGGCCTGTGAGGGGCTGTGGGAGCCTCATCAGAGAGCAATAGCAAAACGCCTGGCTGGCGTGGCTCAGGGGTTGAGCGTCGACCTATGAACCAGGAGGTCACGGTTCAATTCCTGGTCAGGGCACATGCCCAGGTAGCAGGCTCTATCCCCAGTGTGGGGCATGCAGGAGGCAGCCAAACAGTGATTCTCTCTCATCATTGATGTTTCTCTCTCTCTCTCTCTCTCCCCTCCTCTCTGAAATCAATTAAAAAATATATATATATACAGCAATAGCAAATAAGGAGTGAGCACACACTGTGCCAGACACACGCCCTCACCACAGGTCCATGAGGTGCACAGGGCGACCATCACCATTTAAAGATGGGGAAGCTGAGGCACAGGGGCCTCTGCAGGATCCCGCAGGGAACAAAAGGTGGGCTCCAGGTTCAAACTCAGGCTGTGTGTCCGGCCAGCTGGTGGGAGAAATACCCTGTCCCAGCCAGTGCAACAGCAAGCGGCTGCCTTGAACTTGGAACCCGGCAGTCTGGCATCCAGCCCCAAGCCTTGGTGGTTTGCAAAAGCCGGTAAGTGGACAGGTTGTGATGAAGTTTTGACCCAGCCATGGCAAAACGGGAAAAGCAGAGGACGATGTTGTCCGTTTTTCACAAAATTCCCTTAATTTAAAAAAGATGGCCTTTTTCTCGATTCTTTTTCTTTCTTTTCTGAAATGAGGGTGGTATTATATGATGGTTACGATTTTATATTCTTACTTGGCAAGATAAGAATATGAGGCCCAGCCTGCATGGCTCAGAGGTTGAGCATCGACCCATGAACCAAGAAGTCACATTTCGATTCCTGGTCAGGGCACATGCCCGGGTTGCAGCCGAACAGTGATTCTCTCTCATCGTTGATGTCTCTCTCTCTCTCTCTCTCTCTCTCTCTCTCTCTCTCTCTCTCTCTCCCCCCCTCTCTGAAATCAATTAAAAAAAAAAAAAGCACGCCAGCCCCCAAATCTGGGGGAGGTTTTTCTGGTTTATGGACCCCCTAACGTTTGGGCCTTTTTGGGGAGCCCGCCCCTCGGCCCAGCTCAGCCTGGAACTGGGACTTCTTGTGTACCTGTCTTCTCCACTTTCATGTTTGTATTCGCCAAACAATGCAGTTGAGGAAAACCTGCCAGGATGTTTGGAATCTCTGTGCTGGCAGCTCAGACTTTGGATGCAGTTAACAGCCACGTAGAGGAAAACTCTCTCTTCTTCAGCAAACTTCAAGGCAATTCAACCCGGGAATTCAGCCAGTTCCTGGGAGGTGAAGGAATCAAAGGCCTTTGAACAGCAAAGAATGTCTTCAGCACCAAGCTTTGGTCTTGCCGCAAATTCAGGAAGTCTATCTCCTTCCCCAACCAGCACGTCTCCCCAGGAGGCGGGAGGGCTGTCGGGCTGGTCTGTTAACAGGAGATGTGGGGTGAGGCAGCAGCCCCAACACCCTAGAGCTGGTTAGTGTGAGCCCACAGAGGTGCCTCCTCACGCCTGAAGCATCCTGAGGAGTCCAGCCAAGTTGACAAGGCGCTTACGTGTTGATCTGGAATAGACGGGCACGCCTGGCCAGGGAGGCTCAGTGGTTGAGCGTCGACCTATGAACCAGGAGGTCACGGTTTAATTCCTAGTCAGGGCACATGTCCAGGTTGCAGGCTCGATTCCCCAGTAGGGGGCATGCAGGAGGCAGCCGATCAATGATTCTCTCTCATCATTGATGTTTCTATCTGTCTCCCTCTCCCTTCATCTCTGAAATCAATACAGATTATCATAAAACCTATCATAAAAGCTATCATAAAACCAAAACCAAACCCAGGCAGGCAAGAAGAAGAAGGTGAAGGGTACCCTTCACTTATCTGGAAGCTTCGGAGAGCGAGTGCCCACGCTGGTGGGAGGCCGGGCTCAGACTGGACACCTCAGAATCGCCCCTGTTGTGCACAGGCAGGAGCTAACTCTGGGAGCTGCCCTTGGGGACAGAGCAGATGGCTCCAGGGTCACGTGTTCAGTGGCAGGTACCACTGTCCCCTGTTGCAGTTTGCACCCAGAGCGCGGTAGCTGTCCTGTGCCCCCTCTGATCACGGGGAGTGGGCACAGCCAGAGAGGATTCACTGCCTTCATCACCA